GAGATTTCTGGGTTGTTTTCATTTCTTTTCTGGACTGTCAAGTAGCCGAAATACCTCTGAAATCAGTACTGCTGTTTATTGTCCTTTTTGGATTGTTTTTGGGCCCCTGTACGGACTGTTCTTTGGGGCTGTTTTCATCTTTGACAGTGTGGTCTTCTATACTGCCCACTCTGTGTTTGTAAAAAGGTCTCTTCGACAGTAGGGACTGTTCTCTTCCCTTGTGGGGTACTGTTTGGAAAGTATCTAATTTTTTTGTTTAAGAAAGGGAGCTTGGACTAGGTGCACAGTGTTTGGTAGTTTTCTGATTTATTCTTGAAGGCCGAACCAAGTTTGTTGGTGTCTCGTGCTGTCAACAAGGTGCTGCCTCTGTTCTTGGGGCTCTCACAGCTTAGGTGTGACTCAGCTTTGTGTATTGCTGCTTGAGGCTGGTTTAATACGGCCCTTGTTCATCCTCATCCGGTGTTGTTTTGGTTGAAGTTTGCTGAAATCTTATTTGAAGTGGTTAAAAGGATGGACTCATTAGAGATTGAAAACAAGAATGTGGCTGAATTCGGATAGGTTCCGGGAGCTCCTGTTGACTTTTATTGACTGTGACCACAGTCAAGCTAGATGGAACTAATTATCTAGCATGGTCACAATCAGTAAAGATTTATATATGTAGTAGAGGAAAGTGGGGGTTTATCTCTGGGAGCAAGAAGGCTCCCCCAGAAGATGATCAATCTCATGAGAAGTGGATCCAAGAGAACTACACTGTTATTGAGTGACTTGTGAACTCAATGCAGCCACAGATCAGCCAGCACTATCTATGGATGAATTCAGCAAAGGAAATCTGGGATACTGTTGCTGAAACCTATTCCCAAAAACTAAATGTGGCTAGAGCCTACAAGTTGAGAAGTGATGTGAAAATCTGAGATAGGGGGAGAAACCATTATCTGTATACTTCTCAACCTTGAAGTCTTTGTGGCAAGAAATAGACGTGATAGAAGCTGTAACCTGGGACACCACTAATGATGCAAAGACCTACAGGAAACTGGTTGAAAGTTAAGTTTCGAACATTGCTCTCTCTCTAACACCCTAACAGCATTTTATTAAGATAAACTTTGAATAATTACAAGGAGGCCCTTAGTTGGGCAAGAATTTACACAGAACATAACATAGAAAGGATGGGCCCAGAGTAAGGCCCATTACAGACAAGAACATAAACAGTAAGAAAGAATAAAAAGAATAAACAGCCTATGGGCCATTCGTCCCATTTTCTCTACACTCCCCCTCAAGCTGAGCATAGATGTCAATCATGCCAAGCTTGCCAGTATCATGCTGAAGTTTTCAACCCAACTCAACCCTAGTTTTTTTCAGGCTGAGTTTGGGCTAACCCAGGCCCAAATTGCAGCCCTAGTTCTAAGCCTGGATAAAGGAGGAAGGTTATGTCAAGTTAGTAGCTGGTGTTAAAAATTTTGTCAAACTCTTATGAATATGTAAGTGTTATCATGTTTTAATTAAATATAGCACAAAATTTACCAATAAAAAGTTCATGTCCATCAGCAATAAAAGTATTATTCATACTCCTTGGTTGTAAGCTCCCATGCCCAAATAATTGCTTCCCTCTTGAAGTAATCACCAAAACTGAAGTTCCCGAGCATCTCAAAAAATGTATGATGTCTAGATGTTTGGCCCACGTTTTCCACATCATTTGTCCGTATGCACCTTTGAGCAGTTGTAGCACAAGCTACTTGTCTAGGTTCCTACATAAGATGTCAAAGCACTTCCAAATTAATGCAAATGTTTAGTAGCATTAGAAAAAGTAAAAAAAAAAGGAAAACTATCATAATTTACAATGCAAGGGTGTTGATATTAAAGTATAAAATCAACTAGATTAGAACTTTCAGTCAAGAACTGACAGTTTACTAATTTCCAGCATCCTACATTTGGATACAAAAATTATACAATTTTTAATGTTAATGAAATATTCAACTTTGTATGAATCCCCTATGGATAGTTTACTTTTGCATGAAATATTATTGTTCAAATATGTCAATTAGTCTGCACTTGGTTGAAACTATTCCAGGATTAGCTTGTTTTATCGTGTTGATCCCAAGACTGGAAAGGAAGAGTGTTGTCTCAGGTTGGAAGCTGGCATAAAAACCTTTAACCAATCTAATATGAATATGAATCCTGAGTTGAGCCTCAACTTGGTTGAATAGTTTAAAGGAACTTCAATAGAAAGCATGCTCATCCAATTTGGTATTTTTCAATTTTAGAAAGAATTCTGACACAATTCTTCTTCCTTCCTCCCTTCCCCCTTTAAATAGTTCACTTTTGCATAGTGATGTTCAAAAAAGTGAATTAACCTAAAATTGGTCAAATAGTTTAAAGAAACTTAAATAGAAGGCACGCTCATCCAATTTTCTATTTCTCAATTGTTAGAAAGCATACTTATGCAATTTTTCTTTCTTCCTTCCTTTTTTTCTTCATTTTATTATTTGATTGTTACTCTATGATCTTTTTTCAAGGTGGATGATAAGGTTGTTATCTTCACATTTTAGGTTGCCTCAAATAAAATTAGATTGTAAAAATTTCTACTCTTGCAATATAGAAATATTCTTGTGATGATAGATCATTCCTTGAGGTAGTGGGAGTGAGACTCCTCATGTTGGAAATATGATTTCCATGTGCCCATTTAAAGTCACTTTGTATCTTTGTGCTGATGTATTTATAAATAAAAGTGAGACTTTTCATACGAGGCATTCTATTAATGGCTATGTTTATGTATGATTGTGTAGTCCATAGGTAATATTGTAGGGCATTTAGGTGATGAGTGAGACTCATCATGAGAGATCTGGATAACCCAATTCTTGTGAACTTAAAACATCATAAATAAGGGTGAGCTTGGGTAGTTCACTTATAAGGATTGCACACGGACAACTTCCATTATACAGTGTGGTGATATCTCGACTATTGGGGGTGAAACTCCAGACTACCATGCAGGTGTGTATTGGATGCACACTAATTGTTATGGGCCCGGGAATAGGATCTCGTCACGGGTCGGTCCACGGGGAAAACCTCCTATTTTCCCTTGTTCTTCCCTTTTCTTAAAGAACCTATCTTGCCGCCCTAAAAGGTGATTTGTTCAAGAGATCACCAATTCTCCTTTGCTCTCTTTCTTGACTGAAATTTTCGATACCTTTATTGAATAATATCAACTCCTTAAATAGGAGATTACAAGAGGTAGAATTCTACTTGTAGGAGGACTCCTTGCTAATCTATTACTCTATCCTATTAAATTGATAAGATAAGACTAAACTGATAAGATAAGATAAGACTTCCTTAGTCCATCCTACCGAACTGATAAGATAAGATAAGATAAGAACTGTAATTATATAAGATAAGACTGTATCTAGCTGGAATTAGATAAAATGAGAACTAAGAACACCCAATTACTACTGCTGTTGGCAGCTATACTTCTTCCCAATAAACGCATCCACATCATTACTCCCCTCCTGGACTAAGAGCTTGTCCTCAAGCTCAAAATCAGGATATGTGTCTTGAAACTCAGTCAAAGGAATCCAGGATAGGTGGAATAATTTTGCCCCCCTGGATCGGGTTCCAATGAAGAGGGTTCATCCTCAGACAACTGTAGTGAGATACCAAGATTTGACCATGCGTAGATGCATTCTTTGCTGCGGGAAACTGCAGCCTTAAGGTACTTCTGAGATGTCTTGAACCGTAGAGTACAAAGATTGTGAAGGCCAAGCTGGTGCCACTGAACTACATCATCTGGATCCTCTTCTATTGCCTACTTTAGTGTGTACAGAGCTCGCTCTTCCACTTTCGTTAAATCATTATGTCTAGTTTCAAACGTTGCTGCAATTTCATGTTGAGCCTTGTGAACCATGGCAAGTCCTGCCCATGCTATCCGAAGCTCAATTGTTGCAGGGTCCCCTTCTCTGAGTATTGAAGCCATTTCATTTGCAGCCCATGAAAGTTGTTCAGTGGGATCTTGAGACCTTTCTGCATCCTTGATACGATGAAGC